CCCACAGACGGCGCCAAATGTTTTGGGGTTTTCTGATGTCCTGCGGGAGAGCTACAATTCCGAGACTGGAACCGGACGCCTGTACCTGCAAAATAACGGAGACTCCTGAGAGCTCCGCCTCCAACGGTCAAGTTAGTACCTGATTAAGGAGTAATTAATACAGAAATTAAAGTAATAAGGTCTCTCTAGGTGAGAGTATTTAATGTAGGTAATCTGCTTTGCAAGCGAGATCAGCCGGTTATTAGTGTGTTCCGTAATGTTTCTCCTCTGTTCCGTTAATTATTCGGTCCCCTGATTAATGAGGATTAATCGAGTATTTATAGCCTTGGGAAGCGTGCAACTCTCTAGGTTTAAGGTAAACCTAGGGCCGATCGGGCTTCTAGACTGAAATGGGCCTTGATGGCCGGTTGTCCCATTTGGCATGGGTGGACACGTGGCGTGTCTTAAGTGGTCCGTGGAGGACGCGTGGCGGAACCTGGTTGGTCCACTTGTCAAACGGCGCTTGGTGGATAAAAATCCCCTAATCAATATGGGTTCAAGTCCTACATAGCCTATGTAGATTTTAAATAGTGCATGATTATAGCTTATGGTATGTTGTATTTTGGTTAATGTCGTAGCTTGCAAGATATCTAAGTGATCTTGTGTTATAGCAAAAGTGATCCTAACCTAAGATAAAAGTGACCTTGATCAAGGACAAGTTGACTCTTACCAAAAGCACTAATGTATCCTACTTAAGGATAAAGTGGCCCAACTCAGATCAAGGACAATGTAACCCTAATCAAGGGCAAAAATGACACTAATAAAATACAAAAGTAACCCTAATCAAGGGAAAAATCACAAAAGTGACCCTAGTCAAAGGCAAAAATAACCCTAATTAAGGACCAAAGTAACCCTAATCAAGGGCCAAAGTGACCCTAATCAAAACAAAAGTGACCCTTATTAAGGATAAAGTTACCCTATTTTAGAGCAAAAGTGACCTTACTCAGGGCAAAAGTAACTCTAATTTAGGACCAAAGTGACCCTAATCAAGGGCAAAAGTGACCCTAATCAAAATAAAAGTAACCCTAATTAAGGATAACGTTACCCTATTTTAGAGCAAAAGTGACCCTACTCAAGGGCAAAAGTGACACTACTCAAGGGCGTAAGCGGCCCTAACTAAGGACCAAAATGACCCTAATTAAGGACAAAAGTGACCATATTTTCAGAGCAAAAGTGACCCTAATCAAGGACCAAACTACTCAAGGACAAAAGTGACTCTACTTAAGGGCAAAAGTGACCTTAATCAAGGGCAAAAGTGAACCTAATCTATGGTAAAAGTGATCCTAATGAAGGAAAAAAGTGACCCTAACAAAAGAAAAAAGTGACCCTAACTGAGTACAAAAATGACTTCAATTAAAGTGAACGATATGCCCATTAGAAATTATGACAACGACTGTTAGTACACCAACAATGGTGATAAACGACACATACCAATAAACAAGTTATAAGTAGGCTATGCGTGGCTTGAACCTACACCATGTACACAATTGTACATTGCTTTACCTGTTGAGCTAGTAGCCTTGTATAAAACATTTTCATATTTCATAGATGCTCCACCAGTCACCACAATCCACCCACCAATGTCAAAATAAAACACAAATGCATTGCTTCTAAAACTTGATTTAATCATTTTAAAATAAAAGGCAAAAGTGACCCTAATCAAGAGCAAAAGTGACCCTAACCAAGTAAAAAAGTGACCATTTCTCAAGAGAAAAAGTGACCTTGCTCAAAAGAAAAAGTGACCCCAAATGAGTACAAAAGCGACTTAAATTAAAAAGTTACCCTAACGAATAGGGCTATGCTCAGTAATTAGAAGATACTTATAATAACCAACAATGGTGACACACAAAATAAACCAATAAACAAGTATCATGTAAGCTATTCGGGGCTTGAACCCACACCATATACATTGTTGTAGACCTGGCAAATAGGGGTCGGGTCATTTCGGGTCGGGTCAAGTTCGGGTCAAAAGATCATCGGGTCAAGTTCGGATCGGGTCGGGTCATTTCGGGTTTCAGGTTGATTTCGGGTCAGCCGATAATCGGGTCGGGTCGGGTATCGGGTCAACGCTTCGGGTCGAGTTCGGGTCAGGTCAAGTTTGGGTCGGGTTAATTTTTGGGTCGGGTCAGTTTGGGTCAGGTCAATTTTCGGGTCCAATTTTCGGGTCAACTTCTAGTCGAGTCATATTTGGGTGCTTCATTTGGTTAAATTCAACTCTGTATATATATTTATTTATTTATTTATTGATGAAAAACTCACTATATTTATTAAGGCTATTATTTTCATGGATTATAGTAATTGTTTGACTTTTATTAACCTTTTTTTTTTTGTGTTTAGAATTTTATACTGAGAATCACTTTCAGGATCTCCTAAAACTAAGAGGGATGCTCTAACTAATTGAGTTATACCTCACTCTCTTATTGACTTAGTTTTAATACGTACTCTTATTATCATTGTCATTGTTGTAATAATTTCTTTGAATTATTCTTATACCCCCTCCGTCCCAAATTACTCTTAACGATTTGACATTTTGCACTATTCACACATCTCACTTTGACCATCTTTTTTAGCTATTATATGAAAGTCAATGTAGTCATGTAAGATGTTGTTGGGTCTATTTTAATGTATAATTTCCTAATATAAAATTTTTATAACTTATAAATTATTTACTAAAAGAAGTTAAAGGTTGGGTCATTTTCGGGTCGGGTCAACTTCGGGTCTCGGGTCAACTTTGGGTTGGGTCATTTCGGATCTCGGGTCAACTTTGGGTCAGGTCATCTAGGGTCGGGTCATTTCGGGTTGGGTCATTTCGGGTTTCGGGTCAAGGTCGGTCAATTCCACTTCGGGTCGGGTATGGGTCGGGTCGGGTTAATTCGGGTTTTGGGTCAATTTCGGGTCACTGGTCTCGGGTCGATTTCGGGTCATGGGTCGGGTCATTCGGGTCGGGTCATCGGGTCTGGGTCAGGATTGCCAGTTCTACATTGTTGTACACTGCTCTACCATTTGAGCTAATAACCTTGAAATCAAACTGTAGACACCCATTTGTGTCTCCCCAAAACCAAACCCAGTGATGAGTACCTTTCACGTCGAATCATAATCGAATGAAGCGAAAGTGTGGAAAGTCTAGTGTTGCGGATAGTTTTAATTCTTTTCTCTTCTCTCTGTTTTTGAAAACTTATTTTAAGAAAACAGCCAATCCAGTTTGGTTGGTCCATGATATGGGTCCAATAGTAGTGTAGTTGGATGGGGCTTGCAAAGACCTTTCCAACGATATATTATGAGCCCAATTCCGATGAATATTGAGGAAGTTATGGCCAATTTACTAAACTGGGCCCGGTTTGAGCTTTATGTGCGGCCCAATGATCTAGTGGAGGGCCTAATATGATTTATCATTCCTAATGAAATTAGGAATGGTTTTAGTCTTCTAGATTCTTCTAGAAGATTCTTTTCATTCCTAATTCAATTAGCATTGATAAATTGACTTTTGTTGACTTTTCAGAGTTTTAATCAAAATCAAATAGCATTTTCGAAGAAATTATATGATTTTATCCTCCAGTACGGCAAACTTATCGGATTTTTGAAAACGCGTTAAAATTAGGCTTGGCGCCCGACCTCAGGCCTTGGCGCCTGGCGCTAGCCATTGGCGCCTGGCGCTAGTGTTGGTGCCTGGCGCCAGCTAGCCAGGGTTGGCGCCAACTCTGTTTTTTGTGCTTCAGACTCTGTTTTGTTTAATTTATCTTTTGGCTGATTTTCTCTATAAATAACGTATTAAAAACTCCGTTTTCATTAACCAATTCTCATCATTCACGAGTTCATCTACAATCAGCTATTAATTAACATTCTTTTAATCTTTCAATTCTTTCTTTCTCTTTTCTAAACCCTGTTTTCAAATACAAAATTCCGCATTCGCAAGACTTAGATACACCTAGCCATATTCGAAGTTGCCTTCGCCCTAGACGTGAAAGGTTTAATTTCTGAGGGTTTGGTCCCAAATCTCTCTTTCAATTATTTAATTTAATTATTTTGATTATTATTTTCCTTGAAGTTACTAACGTGTGTATTTTGTTATTAGAAAGAGGTACGAGGCATCAAAGTAAGTGCTTTAATGGTTTTATTGATATTATGATGTAGAAATCATGTTTATATTGTTATTATGATATTCCTAGTATCATGTTTAAGGAAAAGGTTATAATATCAAATATGCTTAATATGATTGTTACGATGCTTCCTATGTTCTTTCTAATATTTATTCATGTTAGTATCATGTTAGGGTTAAAGATTTGATTTTTATTACTTAGTGACATGCTAGGGTTTGTTATTAATCTTATTAGTATCATGCCTAGGATCTTGCTATTTTTATTATGCTTTAATATTAACATGAATATGATTATGATTATTATTATTTTGATGATGATTATTTTATTTATGATTGTAATTTTATTCATGATATTTATTATGATTATTATTATGTTGCTTGATACATATTATATTTATTGTTATTGCTTGATCACACCTTTGATGCATGTTTAAAGAGAATTTGTACTTGTAATCACGATTAATAAGATATTTAATAATCTTGTTAGGGTTAATATGATTATAAATTCAAGTGATCGCCAATAATAGATTTATTTGTGCATTAAATTCAACCAATATAGATAAACAGGTTTAGGGTTAATTCTAATGATTGCATGTTTATTAAAAAGCGCATATGAATACGATCAGAATAAAGTAGAGGCCTATTATTAGGGCAGGTTCAATCTCTTTTAGGTTGGATTTGTACCATCATCCCCGAACCCTTATTTGGTTTTAGACCTTATGGAGTTGACGATCTCTTGGATCGTTAAGGGGTGTAACCTTCACCTTGTGAACGGTTTACAAGTTCCTAAAACTTGTTGGCGACTCTTTTGCTCTATCTTCTTCCCTTTTGGACGCCACCGTACTTTAGTGTATGATCACAGTGGGGTTCAAGCTAGTGGGATTAAAGCTTGAAATATATTCCCTACACAAACACTTTCCAATTTTAATATAACAATGGCAAGACAATCCACATATTAAAGGAAACACAATATTAATAGAAATGCCATAAAGAGGGCGAGGAATAACAACTCACATAGGCTACAAGGTCACCATACATTATTAGAATAATAAGCAAATCTGTAGGAAGACCAAGGTAGAATTTTAGGGTTTGAGTTAGTATTAAATAGGAATAATGTAACATAGCTTAAATTATAAAACAATGAATGAAGTATGACTTAAAGCATGCTAGCAAAGATAATCACCACATTGGCCCACCATAGTCACACAGAAATTGACCATACTAGCCCATAGAGAGTATATCTTCATCAACAACAAGAATTTACTCACTTTGATATTCTCATTTTAATTAACTTCTAAATCATCAATGAAATGACTCAAGCACTTAACATAGTTGTTCTTATATTGAACATTATCAAATTACCTGCTCTAAGTCCTTAAATTGATCTCTTGATTAAGAGTTCTGATTCAATTTATTGTTGAATTGTAGGCCAAATTTCAGCAAATACATGCATCATTATCATATGACAGTACCAAGTTTCCATGTGGATAGTCACACTAGATTAGCGTTGTGCAATTGCAATTCCATCAAAGCGAAATTTACAACACACCCTATAAAACTCGTAAGATGATTCAGAATGTGATTTCCTAACCATTATTTGATCCCAAAGCTCTAAATATTGCACAAAAATCAACAAAATTGTAGCACATTAACAGTAAATTGACAATGAACAACAAAGAAGCACGAATCATGAATAAAACTTAAAATTCAAACTAAAAACACAATAAATATCAAAAAATAATTAAAATACAAAAATTGACAATATCAAGCAAGAAAAATACATAAAAATGAAGCAAAAAAAAAATACTAGCATTTTAATCGGCTTCACTAGCAGGTGTATTTTTACCCGATTTCCTCATGGATTTGCTCGAAGTTCTTGAACTGCTGGAAAACAAAAAAAAAGAAGCAATAATCTGAAGAAAATTGCATAAAATTTAAAACTCAAAGATCAAAAGAGAAGAAAATGATCATAATCGAAAACAATAACATAATTGAAAATAATGAGACCTTTGAGTGCTGAGAAGAGAGAAAGTGAAGAGGAAAGAAAGTGAAAGTGTCAGAAAAGGAAATATACGGGGCGTTTGGTACGTGGGATAGGGATAAGAAGGATAAGAGGATAGGATAAGGATAGAGAATTTTGGGTGGGATGGGGATTAAATAAAGTGTTATCCTTTGTTTGGTGTAAGTTAGGATAAAAGTAGAATAAGCAACAAAGTTACATATATACCCTTACTAACCCTATCTTTCTCCTTTATTTTTTTTTTCTTTTCATTAATGGTATAACTGTCATTTTAATTATAATCTTTATCCCTCATTCTTATTCCAACCCCCCTAGGTATAGAAATTGAGTGATAAGAGGTGATTTAATCCTTGTCCCATCTCTCTCTCTAATCCCAATCCCTAGAAACAAACATAGGATTTTAATATCCCTTTCCCCAAATCCCTATTCCTTTTCATTTATCCCCTTAAACAAACATGCTAATAGAGTATAGAAGAGAGAGAAAGTACAAAAGTAAAATATTACACCAAATATGTTCACACGTGTAAAATTTAGTTTTTGGAAAGAATAGTGCACCACACGTTAATGTTAGTGTAAATCAGCCTTTAATAAACATTAGGGAGGCAGTTGCTCACATAACTCTTAGTCATTAACTAACCCATTAACTTTAGATTAAATAAAATGAAATGTCTCATTTTGCGTGTTTTAGTTTTCAGGTCTGTAGACACCCATTTGTGTCTCCCCAAAACCAAACCAAGTGATGAGTACCTTTCACGTCGAATCATAATTGAATGAAGTGAAAGTGTGGAAAGTCTAGTGTTGCGGTTAGTTTTAAATTCTTCTCTTTCTCTCTATTTTTGAAAACCTATTTTAAGAAAACAGTCAATCCAGTTTGGTTTGGTCCATGGCAAGGGTCCAATAATAGTGTAGTTGGGTCGAGTTCGAAAAGAGCTTTCCAACGATATATTATAAGCCCAATTCCGATGAATAATGAGGAAATTATGGCCAAATTACTAAACTAGGCCTGGTTTGATCTTTATATCGACCCGATGATCTAGAGGAGGACCTATTATGAGTTATCATTCCTAATGCGATTAGGATTGATTATAGTCTTCTAGAGTCTTCTAGAAGGTCCTTTTGAATCCTAATTTGATTACCATTGATAAATTGACTTTAGTTGACTTTTTAGAGTTTTAATCAGAATAAAAGAAGTGTTTTTAAGGAAAATACAGTTTTACCCTCTCGTACGCTTAAATTTTATCAAAATAAGAAAACGCGTGGAAAACTGATTGCAGCGTCTGGCAACAGGTCCAGCGTTTGGCGTCTGGCGACAGGCGCGTGTTTGGCGCTGCAGTCATGTTTTATTCTTTTCGAAACTCTGATTCTTTTTCTATCATATCCGGCTGATTTTCTTTATAAATAGCCTCCTAAAATTCTGTTTTCAATCACCAATTCCCATCAACTCTCATCAATTCTCTATCAATTCTTCTCACCAACTCTCATCAAGAAATTCTTGATTACTCCCTCTCTCTTTTCTAAACTAGCTTTTCTCAAACAAAATTCCGCATTCACAAGATCTAGACACACCTAGCCAAGTTCGAAGTTGCCTTCGCCCTAGATGTGAAAGGTTTTAATTTCTGAGGGTTTGGTCCCAAATCTCTATTTTAATTATTTAATTTAATTATTTGATTTTATATTTTCCTTGAAGTAACTAACGTGTGTATTTTGTTATTAGAAAGAGGTACGAGGCATCCAAGTAAGTGCTTTAATTGTTTTCATTGTTATTATGATATAGAAATCATGCTTAAGTTTTTATTCCTAGTATCATGCTAGGATGTTTTATTGTTTCCTTAGTATGTTATTTAGGGTGATTTGCTTATATCAATTATGATTTCTATGATGTCTTTTAATTTCTTTCTTAATATCACGTTAGGGTTAAAGCTTTGATCTTTATTATTTAGTGACATGCTAGGGTTTGTTATTAATCTTGTTAGTATCATGCCTAGGATCTTGCTATTAATATTATGCTTTAACATGATTATTTTGGTTATAATTTATGATATTATTATTATGTTGCTTGATGCTTATTCATTGTTATTGCTTGATCACACCTTTTATGCATGTTTAAAGGGAATTGGTACTTGTAATCACGCTTAATAAGATAATTAATAATCTTGTTTAGGGTTAATATGATTATAATTCAAGTGATCGCCAATAATAGTTTTATTTGTGCATTAATATTCAACCAACATAGATTAAACAGGTTTAGGGTTAACCTATTGATTGCATGTTAGTCAGAAAGCGCACATGAATACGAGAAGAATAAAGTAGTGGCCTATTATTAAGGCAGGTTCAATCTCTTTTAGGTTAGATTTGTACCTTTATCCCCGAACTACCAGTCTTGGTTCCAGACCTATTGGAGTTGACGATCTCTTGGATCGTTAAGGGGTGTAACCTTCACCCTGTGAACGGTTTACAAGTTCCTAAAACTTGTTGGCGACTCTTTTGCTCTAGCTTCCTTCCCTTTGGACGCCACCGTACTTAAGTGTATGATCACAGTGGGGTTCAAGTTTGGGGTAATGCTTGAAATATTCCCTACAAGGTCATAAAAAACTCTCGGTATAATTTTTACTTTTCAAGGGGTAATTGGTCCTAGAAAAAAAAATTTACGATTTTTAAACCGTGTACCCTTAAGGTTTTACCAAAGTTCACCATATGCCCCTAATTTTATTTATAAATTCACAAAGTACCCATATACCCTATTCAATAGTGAACTACATCACATGTAACATGTCATTATCTGCTAACGGAGTACTACTCCTTTAAGAGTGATAAGAGCAAAACCTAACAATCTACCTAAGCTTCACTTCTCCTCTCCACTAACCCCTTTTCTTGTCATTTTCATCTACACAAATCACAGATCCTAAATTTCTTCCTACCAAACAAATACGAAAAATAACAAAACAAATCCTAAAATTCTTCAAGCAAGTCAACAATTAGCAATTAAAGAATCTATAGCGAAAGCATTTTGGGACAAGAGGCTTAATTGTCTTCTACTGAAATTTTATTCATTGCACTTTGGGGCAATTTGGGGCTTACCTTGGGTTTTGCAATTGGGTAATTATCTACTATTTACAAGTTTCGTACTTTATACACAAGATATTAGTTTTTTCATTTACTTTGAATTTGTTGGTATAAATTATAGTCTTCAATGTTTGAACTTACATTAAAATTTGCCACACATTGGTGAAGGAATTATGTCTTTGATAAGTGCAATTACTAGATATATCAAGGATCACTATTATGGAGATAATAAGTTCGTTCTTTTGGGTCGTCATTGTTTGGTGCTAGATATGACAAATGATCTTTGGGCTAGTTGAATAGTCCAAAGCCCAATAGAATGGATCTTATAAGGTCACACAACAAGAGTATTGGGTTAAACAAGTACGAGGATCATTAATGGGCCTCATGAGATTATGACATACCATATGGAGTGTTGGGCTAGAGGTTTTGACTAGGCTTAGGAGTTTGGGCTTGACATGTGGTCTTATTTAGAGATATGATCTATAAATAAGATCCATGCCTAGGGTTGACATAATTCACAATTAACAGTCAGTCAATTGTGAAACAAGGCAACCAGTATTCCAAACCCTAATCCATCTCTCTCTCCTCAAATACACGGCTCTATCTCCTCCCCTTCACGTCTGTACGGCAGACCACCTTGGTGGCGCGTGTGGTGCTTGTTCGTGGTGGTTTGTGGTTAGTTTGTATCTCTCTTCTTCGTTAAAGATTGAATGAAGGGTTCAATCACAACTAACTAGCATTAGTGGAGGTTTAATCTGTACCCGTGGACCAAGTAGAGGAATCACGCTTGGGGTTCTTTATCTCCTATTGTTCTTGCTCGATCGCACGTGGGATCACGCTTCAAAGGTACAATTATATGTTCTTTATGTGTTATGTATTAGATTTTGGGATTAGGTGCTTCATGAATATGATTCATGTTTTCCTCAATCAGTACCTATAAACTCCTATAGTGGTATAAGTTAGCCTATTGCATTTACGCATATTGACAATAATTCTTTGATAATCCACAATTTTAATTCAATTAGGAGGGAGAATAATTTAATTACGGGTCAATTATTATATTAAATGTGATTTAACTCTTGGAATTGATTAAATATGATTTAATAATGCTCAAAATAGCCATGAAGAGATCCGAATTTTGCCCTAGATTACTTAAAAATTTCGACCCCCAAACCCTAATTTCAAAAATTTTGAAACCCTAACCCTAAATTATGAATTTTTTGTTTTTGTTTTGATTTAACTCTTTTACTATGTAATTAATGATTTTAATCTATTTGATCTCATGATAAATTATGAATTTTTAATGATCAAATTATTTCATTTAAGAGTTAAATTGATTTGGGGATTAAAATTCCTAAAGAACCCTAATTTTGAAATTGAATATAATTTAATTTGAAATTAAAAGGACCACATTAAGTTAATTTAATTTTAACAAAAATATTTTGTTTTAATTAAAATCAATAAAAAAAGGGGTTTAAGCAGGAGCAACCGCGGCTGGGCGGCGTAGTCATGGCGGCTGCCGCTGTAGGTGGTCCAGAGGGAGGGGCGGGCAGGGCAGCAACTCGAGTCAGGGGTGCAGCAACAATAGCACCGTGCAACAGTTGCGCGACACTGCTTCTGCTGCTCTACGTTGCTGCTGTGCAGCATACACCGCAAGGTGTACGACCACCGTGGCTGGCTTCGGCTAGCCACACCACAGTTGCTGGCGCACGTTTTAACAAAAAAAAAATCAGTTTTTGAAAATATTTCAAGATAATTACAAAATTATTTTGGGATAAAATCAGTTTTATTTTGGATAAAATCAAATTTTTAAAAGTTGACTAATTTGATATTATTCATATTTAAAGTGTTAATTTTGATAATTATCCATAATTAAAGTGGTTAATTTTGGATAAGATTGGTTAGGATATTCTAAGCATATTCCAAAAGGATAATAATTGATTTAAATAATGTGATTATCACATAATTATTTTAGGATAATAATTGATTTAAAATTTTGTGATTGGCTAGTAATTAGGATAGAATTTCCAAATTTGTTAGGATAATCTTTGAGGATAAATACGATTTATCTTTTAAGATTAAAATAAGATTTGATTCTATCTCATGACTAATTTAAAATATACTATATTTTATTGATGATCATGAATAATATATGATATTATCTAATTGCAGTATTAAAATATGAAATATTTAGATGCCATGTATCCTTAATTGTGAACATTCGATGTTGTAGTTTAGGAAAGCATGATGAGTGATTTATTATGTGGCAATTTTATAGTATATGATGTTATTTTTGCTATATAATGACTAGTATAGCCTAGTAGATTACTAAATACGATCTGCGCATCGTGATGTATTTTTGTAATCTTAGTATGGTCTACAAACCGATAAAGTATTTTTGTAATTTTATTTCATTTTATTTAAGTAGTAGATAGAATAGAGTAAAATTACAGGTTGTAGTTAATCCAATAAGCCCATGAAGTGAAGGCCCAAAGGAGCAATGTAGCAAAGAAAGGGTATGTGACAAATAACAAGAAACCTGGTAAACAAGTTGAAGGTGCTTGTTTAAAGAGAAAGACTGTGAAGAGAGTTGGTTGTCCTGCTAAGATAAAATTTAGGTTCTGTACTGGTGGGAAGTATATGGTGTATTATTTTTATGAATATCATTCTCACCCTTTTTCTACACCTATTACTAGGCAGGTTACTAAACATGAAGTTGGTTTAAATTTTGCTCACAAGAAGTTTATTTTTGACAACTCAAAGTTAAATATAGGGGTGATTATATATTATAGGATCATGAAAGAACTTTGTGGTGGGTTTCAAAATGTCAGGGGCAGTAAAGATGATTTCAAAAAAATTTCTAGGGACTTGAAAGTTTATATCTCTAATGCTGATGGTGCAATGTTTGTTCAGAACCTTGAACAAAAAGTGAAAACCAGTAAAGGGGGTTATTATTTTGATTACTGTGTTGATGGAAGTAGGCATTTGACCCGTGCTTTTTGGGCTGATGCTATTGGTAGAAGAGATTATCAATTATTTGGGGACTCTTTATCTTTTGATTTTACCTATGATACAAATAAATATTCATTGGTTTTCTGTCCTTTTATGGTGTTGATAATCACAAGAGATGTGTTACATTTTGTGCTGCTCTATTATCTAAAGAAGACATAGATTCTTTTGTGTGGCTATTTGAAACTTTTTTGAAGTGTATGGGAAGAGAACCCTCTTGTGTTATCACTGATCAAGATCCTGCAATGGGTATTGCGATAGAAAAGGTTTTTACCAAGAATAAACATAGGCTATGTATGTGGCACATAATGAGGAAGGTACCTGAAAAGGTTGGAACTGCCTTTTGTAATGAAACTGATTTCCTGAAAAAGCTAAGTGCAGTAGTTTGGGATAGAGAGATTGATCCTCATGTATTCGTTAATGGCTGGAATAGTGTTATGGAGGAGTTTAACCTTGTTGATCATGAGTGGTTTGCATACATGTTCAAGATTAAACATATTTGGATTCCTACATTTTAGGGACCTATTTATGGGTGGGTTACTGCGTTCTACATCTAGGTCTGAAGGTGAAAACAGTTTCTTTTGTAATATTACAAATCCTCAGGTGACCTGTGTTGAATTCTTTGTCCGTTATAAAACTGCTCTTGATGCTTAAAGGCATGAACATGATGAGTTGTACAGGCTTAATAAACTTGAGCCTCAATTGGTTACTAATTTACACTTGGAAAAGCATGCTGCTGTTGTTTATACTCGTTCCATATTTTATGATTTTTAAGAAGAATGCCAGAGAGCCTGTTTTTCATGTGGTGTTGAAAGTTGTAGTTCTCTGTATGGAGATGGTGTGGAGTTTCAGTTATTGTTGATCATGAGAAAAGGAAAAATTTTGATGTAAATTTTGACTTGGCAACATATGAGTCAAGTTGTACTTGTAGAATGTTTGAGAGTCAAGGTGTTTTATGTAGACACATTTTGTTTGTTATGAAAGGCAAGAGTATACGAGAAATTCCTGATTCTTATATCTTGTATCGTTGGAGAAAAGATGTTCTGAAGAAAGCTTCTGTCATAGATGTTGCTCTGGATGATGCTTCTAAGTATGATAAGAAGAAGCAATTGTTCAGTGATGTATTGTCCAAGCTTTTCAGTTGTGTGAGTTTAACTGATCAATCTGAGGATGATTTATTTAATCTTATTAGGACATTATCTTCATTTGAGGAGCAGATGATATCAAAGAATAATCCTGAAAATGCACCTAGTTCAAAAGAGGTGAAAGACGCTGATATTCAAGTTTTGGTTGGGTCAAATGAAGTTGATGTAAATGTCTTGCCTCCAAATCGGTGTCTTAATAAGGGTTATTCCAGAAGTTCAAAGAGGTTGAAGAGTGCAAAAGAAATAGCTACTGAAGAAAAATCTAAAAAAGGCAGAACTTGTAGAGCTTGTGGGCAATCTGGTGTTTCCCATGACAGTAGAAATTGTCCAAACAAGTAGTCTTTCAGGTATTTTACTCTTAAGTGTGTTCTATTTAGTTTAAACTTCTACTTCCTCTGTTCTGTTAATATTGCAACAAGGAGGAAATTACGCATCCCAAAACACATTTTATATGCTAAATATCTACAATTGTGTAAGTGTAAAAATTATAAAAAGTTGATATTGTGAAAGTATTATATGAGACGAATCCAACAAGATCCCACTTGACTATATTTTGCTTAACGTATAACTCATATTATATGGTCAAACAAGAGTGATGAATAGTGCAAAAAGTCCATTGTTGCAATATTAATAGAACGGAGGAAGTATTTATTTACTTTAACAGTAACTTCATTTACTTTTTATTTTGTGCCGGTGTTATTATACTTGGTATTTTTTTATTTGGTATTTTACCTCTTTACCTTTTTTATTTACTTTAGGTTTTAATTTATTTACTTTACATTCTAATTTATTTACTTTAATTTGTGACAAATAACTGATGTTTATTTTTGTGCAGTTATTTTAATACTTGGAAACTAGAAGATGTTTTGGAAGATCAAGATCAAGATCAAGATTTAATGAACAAATATTTTTTTATTATTTTTATTATTGTAATATTTTTACATTTACTATAAGTAATTATACTACAGAACTTAAGTTTAGTTTGTTTACTTTTAGCTATTATACTTTAACTTTATGAAATATTTCATTTACTTTTATCATATTTTATATCATATGAATTATTTGATTTATATAATGTTCTTACTTACAAAATTAAAGATAATTGCTTGTATTATTCCCTTTCTCCTAGAATACTTGTTACCATATCCATTTTTTGTTCTAAAATACTTGTCACAATTTTCGTGGAACCCGAGTTGACAAGAGTATTTGATATCGATTTTGAATATGAATTGACGTGTAAATGACCCGACCCAAATGTAACCCATATATTATTGACTTGCTGATTTCAACTTGATTATAACCCGTAAAATTATTGACTTGAACCAATTTGACTAAAATTCTAGAATGTGTTAATTTTCTAACCATTAATTATTGACATTACTTGAATGTAATTTGACCGGTTATCAAACTCACCTAAACTTGTACCAAATCAGATACCGATTTTGAACATGAATTGATGTGTAAATGAGCCGACCCAAATGTAACCCATATATTACTGACTTGGTGATTTCAACTTGATTATAACCCGTAAAATTATTGACTTGAACCTGTAGGCGTCGTTCGAAGTTTGCCTACGTTAAAGCATGTTGTGAATATGCTTGGTACTCATAGGAAGTGGGAATTGACATAACACGATTAGGGACAAATAAATGAGGGAGCCGCCAACAAGTTTTTAAGGAACTTGTAAACCGTTCACGGATCATAAAAAGGCAACCACGATAAGGGACAACGAAAGGCAACAACGATTGACTCGTGAAGGTTACACCCCATTCATAATCCATGAGATTACTAACTCCATATGGTTCGGAACCACGAAAGGAGGATCGGGGATGATGGTACGAAGTGAGTCATGGAGTCACATTCGCCCGTATTGGCCTCTACTCGATTCTTATAGTGAAAAAAGATTCCTGCGATCTCAAAGGCATACAAACAAAATATTCAATTCGCTCCAATCTATTATTAAGCTAAATTGGTTGAATATTACTGCAACACATAATTCTAAAATATCGTGATCACTTGATTTAATAACAAGATTAGAAAGAATCTAAACCGATTGTCCAAATTATCTTATTAGTCGAGATTTTCAATTACATATTCCCTTTAACATGCAATATGGTGATCAATAAATAATAGAACAAACATTAATATTGGAAGCAGTTTAACAATAATTCCAATAATATTAAATCGTTAGAAAAATAATAGAAATAAAAGGAACATAATTCTTACTTTGATTCTGTTTGTTTGCAACTACAAAATAATAAACGAGTTAGTAACTTCAAGGAAATAATAATAAAACTATAATTAAATTAAATTAAGTAGAGTTGATTTGGGGCCAAACCCTCAAACAGTTCTACCTTTCACGCCTTGGCTTAAGGACAGAACCACGAGTAAAGTATGGACTCCTTGGAGTACTTGAAGAAGGAATTTTGAAAGAAGAAAGGTAGGCTAGTGTTTAGGCTAAAGCATAGAAGAGAGAAAAATCGAGAATTAATTGATGCCCCGTACATCAGAAATGAGGGGGTATTTATAGAGAAAATGTGCTGAGGGAACACACGGAACCTTAAAATGATAAAAACCCTAAAAAAGTATCCCGTGACACGGCAAACTGTACCGTTACACGGGAAGTCCCACCGTCAGACGGGAAACATTCTCGTGACACGGTGCAATTTTTGTGTGACGCGGGAAATATTTAGTAAACGGGGGAGAAAATGCGTTAAGGGTTTACGCGGAAAGGACACGGAAATTCCCGTGTCACAGAAGGTTTCCCGTGTCGCGGGAATATCCACCGTCAGACGGGATAGTTTCCCGTGACACGGTAGACAGCTGCCGTGGCGCGAGAATTTTCAGTCCGCTTTTCCGTCTAAATTCATTTTTAACCCTAATTTCGTTCAGCATTTTAAGTGTCGATTGATAATTTCGGGCCTTTTTCTGATTTATTGTTATTTGAGCTAAAATACGAAAATAAGCAAATAAAATAAATAAAAGGTTTGGGCTAAAAATAAATAATAAAACAATAAAATAAAAAAGGTTTGGGCTAAAATTAAATAATAAGTTTGGGCTGAAATTAAAACTATGTTTTTACCAAATATCAAGACTAATCCATGGACTATTCAAAAATACGAATTTAATCAAATACGATTTTTTAAGTACTCTCGGGATTAAATACTGAACCCGACCAATAGTAGCGGTGAAAGGTTGTTCATCATCGGGTTTGGTTTTGGGGAGAAATTTTTAGGTGTCTACAGAAGCCCCCACTTTGACTGAGTTTGTAGAAACGTCAGTTTCGAGAATGATAGTCAAAGTTGTCGATAGAAACGGAGAATCATTTAAGACGTTCTGCGATCCTAAATTACTTTGTATACGCCGATACCTGCAGAAAAATATTAATTCTACAGATAAAAGAGTAAAAAGATAGAATATGTATCTGGCACCAGTGTATCGGTGGCAAATGAGCTTGGCAGCTTCCTATGCTTGAAGGAATCAATCGGATGACATTTGTTGAAACGCTTTCCATGCCTGAGGAAAGCCGACTGAGGAGTTTGGTAGTTTTCTAAGGCTGAAGAAACCTACTGGATGATACTTTCCATGCCTGAGGAAAGTCGACGTATGAATTTGGCGTCATTCTATGCTTGAAGAAATCCACCGATGATGATTTCCATGCTTGAGGAAAGCCGACAAAGGAATTTGGCGGTCTTCTATGCTTGAAGAAAAATCCACCGATAACGCTTTCCATGCTTGAGGAAAGCCGACTTGGCGGTTTTCTATACTTGAAGAAAAATCCACTGATAACACTTTCCAAGCTTGAGGAAAGCCGACTTGGCGGTTTTCTATACTAGAAGAAAAATCCACCGATAACGCTTTCCATGCTTGAGGAAAGCCGACTTGGCGGTTTTCTATACTCGAAGAAAAATCCACCGATAACACTTTCCATGCTTGAGGAAAGCCAACGACTACTGTAATCGCTGAAATTTGCAAGTGTATGATGGTTCGATTATCCCCGAACGTGGGCCACAGATGATTCACACCTTCAAGTCGATTATCCGACCATATTAGGTGCTTAAAATATCGACAAAAATTGACTTTAATGCTTCTAGGGGAAAAATAGTAATTTTGGTACCCTCCAACCGGCAGTTAGAATTTTTCGCGTAATTTTACTGAAAAAGTAACTGTCCAATTTGCGCGGAAAATCGTGCAATTTTGGTTAAAATGCCAGGAATATTCTCTAATAGCTTCAAGGGATATGCAGGGAAGGCGTAGGACCACCGTGTCACGAAAGAGGATTCCCGTGACACGGCAGGGATCCCTGTCACGCAGAGCAAATTCCCGTGACGCGGGAAATTTGTTGGTTGAAAATCAGTCAACTGGCATCTTTGACCAGTCCAAACCACGTGCGCCATGTCAATATGTTACCGTTACATGGTAACGGAAACCGTCGCACGAGAAAAGGGATGTAACGAGATGCTTTTTTTTGCTTTAAATTCAAGCTGCTCTCTGCCATTTTCTTGCTATTTCCGCACTTTCTCTTCTCTATTTTATTTTTTCTTCTGCTCAAATTACCAAACCACGGCAAGGTATCACCGGCGCTCGGAGTTTTTTCCGTCACGCGGAGTTCTCATCCGTGGCGCGGCGGTTCTGCTGGTTCTTATTTCCGTTTTTTTTTCTTCGCTGATGTTTTTCTGCTGCTCGTTTCTGCGCTTGCTGTCGCCGTCACCTGAGGTTGCCGCTTCTACTGCCGGAGTTCCGCTACAACCCAAACTCACCGTGACACGGGCCGTTCTTACCGTGTCACGGCAGCTGCTGACCATGTCACGGCGGTCGTGATGCGATCTTCACGGCTGTTCGAGCTTTTGGAGCTTAAATCTTCATCAATTCTGCTCTAATTTTTTGCTACTTTCCTCATTTTCGATTCTCTACAAGGATCCATGTAAGTTTCCTTTGATTTTTGTCTCGAATTTGCTTCAAACGAATAATTTCATGTAAAAACCCTTAAAAATCAATTTGGGGATTTTTTGATTTTTATGTTGAAATTCTTGCCATGAATTTACTTGCATATGTGTTTATGTGTGTTTGTGAGCGATTTGAGACAAAAATTGCATGATTTGGTGAAGAATTGAGCAAATCACCATTTTTGGTACTTATTGTGGTAAATGGTGTTCCTTGTTGTTCATGTTGTTCTTTTGCACTTGAAATGATGACATGTTGGTTGTAGATCTTGTAAAATATGCTATGATGCGTCGATCTATTGTTTTTGTGCAATTTTGAGACATGTTTCGTATTGTATATGTACTACATTGTCATGTAGAACATAGTATCATGCAATTAGGAGAACATAGTATTAG